CTGCCCTGCAACACAGCCATGTGACCTCAGCTAGCCAAAGCCCACTCTAAGTTGGAGATGAAGGGCATCTGGAAAAAGCTGACAGCACCCTGAGCCCTGAGAGGTATCCCATTTATCTCAAGAGTTCTCTCCCTTCTTCTGCAACCCTTGCTGTCAAGACAGAATCCTGTCTGGCAAGACATTTTTCCAACTATGGAACAACGGAAATTCCTGGCTCAGGCTGAGGCTCGGGGCTGCGGTGGGGATGGTAGACAGCTGGTCTCTTCCTGGGGAATGTCCTGGAAGCCAGACACATCCGGCCAGGAGGTGCCTGCCCACAGGAGACAACTGGCCTCGAGCAGCATGGGCCTGGCGTCTGATGCTGACAGCAGGCCAGCAGGCCAGCAGCCCGGCCTCTGGCCAGCCCAGTCCACAAGCTTCCTGCTGCTGCCCACCAAACACCACCATACCCAGAAAATGAGCCTTCTGTGCCCAGATGTTTGCTTTGAAGGCAACGACCAAAGCTACATGCTACCATCAGAACCCCTTAGCAGACAGGCCCCCCTCGGCCCCCTGGATTCTTTCCATTTTTAAATAATTAACTTGAATGCATTATTTGTTAAACAGAGCACTTAAAAGTTAAGCTGAGTACTTCACTGTATCTGTCTCACTTAATCCTCTTAAGCCCTTGTAAGAGGCGGGGGAGGGAAGGCATTGCTCTTATCCCCATTTCCAAGCAGGAACCGGGTCAGAGAGGGTAAGCCACCCAGCCAGGACCTCACAGCCAGAAAGTGGCAGTCAGGATTTGAACCAGGACTTCCCAACCCCACTCCACACACACTATCACTGTGTCGCACACTCCAGAGAGACATGCCGTAGCCCAGAATATCAACTACACACCAGAAGACTGGCTTACAGTAGGCCCTGAGAAAAGCAGAACGAGAAACTTGGGTTTGGGTGGCTTCTACCTCCTCTCCACCCAGGACGCATCAGAGACTTCCACGAAGGTGGGAGGAGCAGAATGGAGGGATGTGGGACCCCTCCTCAATGCCCAGGCCCACCCTCCCCCTTTCCTGTCAGCACTGGTAGTAGGGCACAGCCAGGCCCATCACCTGTGCTGCTGTCAAAACACGAGCCACTGGCCTAGGTGAGGCAGCTCACAGCTACTGCCAACTTTCAAAAAGACTGAAGGAAACCACTGTCTTCTTCCCCACCCAGAGGTCATAGTTAGCCAGCCCACAAGGGGCTCAGAGTCAGCCTTCACCCAGGTCTTTGTCCAACATCGTCCCCTAGCAGCCACGGGGATTCTTTGTACCCAAAGTCAAAAGATGTCTCCTTTCTTCAAGCCCTTCTGATGCCCCCTGGGGGCAGGGCAGAGTCCAAGTCCTGGCAGAGTGAACACCCACATGTTGAAGGTGACCTGAGCCTGGGTGGAAAAAGCCAGCACAGGGCCCTCCCTGGTGGCTGAATGGGTTAAAGCTTAGCACTAGGAAGCTAGTGGCAGCCACTTCAGAACAAGTTCAATCCCCAGCCAGGGAGGTGATCAAATGGCGCAGCAGACCTTTCCTGACCTACCCGCTGCTTCCCTCAGCAGTGTACTTCATTGATCTGCCTTTTCTGCGCTCTGCTTTGTCTCTGGTGATTCCTCTCACTGGCCCTACACCTCTGGCCTATACCCCAGTTCTGTATGCATAAAGAAATTAAAAAAAAAAAAAAAAAGGGCCAGCATGGCCACCTGCTCTCCTCCACAAGGCCCTCAGCCTCTGGAAACCTGGATCTGGGGTCGGGCCCCACCACTAAACACTAAAGGGGGCACTCTGCCTGACCTGTTTATGCAAACCTGCCTCATGCAAGGCCTCCCTCCCTCTGGGAGCTTAAACTTGGGCCCATGCCAGGCAGAGGCTGCCTATGTGACCACCCCTGTACAGCCCTGGGCCGAGGCTGTAACATGCGCCCCTGGTGGGTGACATGTCACACCTCACTTCAGGGGAGAGTCAGGGTTAAGGTTAACTCCCCCACTCACAAACTCCACTCTGCTAGTAGTCGACCTTCCCAAACACGCCCCTCAGGACAAAGGGCGCCTTTATGAGCCAGAGCATGGAGGCGAAGGGGCCTTGGTGATAACCTTCCTTTTGTGAACATCACTATACATATAGACTCATGGGCCTCACAGGAGCAAGACCAGGCGCATCCCATGTGACCCCATCAGAAGAGGATTCTGGAAGCTCATGCCTGATTCCGCCCCACATGCCTTTTCCCTTTGCTGGCTCATCTCTGTGTCCTTCTGTGGAAACAAACCATACTGGTGGGCAGGACTCCATGCTCGGTCCTCTGTCCTCCTAGAGAGCCATCGAGGCTTCAGACCTCGTCCCTGCCCTATCCTGCGCCCTTGCCCTCCCGCCTGTATTTTTCCAGCACACGCCAATCCACTCACATCCCGGTTCTCTGCCTTCTGTCTCGGAGTCACTCGCCTCCCTTCCACGTCCTCCCTGGGCGGGCAGGCGGGCGAGCACTCCTCCACGACCCACACTGTTCTACTTTGCTCTGAAGCCCTAGTCACCACCTGCCCCAAGCACACGTTCGCCCTCTGCCTCCTACCTCCCTACTAGAACGTGAGGACGGGGCTCTGGGTGCTTCCTTCACCACAGCACAATCACTAATGCTGTGGGGGTGCCCACGGAATGTCAGGGCAACGCCTGCATGAGCAACATGTCCAGCTTCCAGCTGGAGGCGATGAGGGCTGACCTCATCTCTCCTCCCCCTCTGAAGGACAGGCAGAGCCAAGCGGGGCAGGCAACCCATCCCAGACAGGAGAATGCGCTCACCTCCAGGAGCTGCGCAGCACTGGGCCGGGTCTCTGGGTTCTTGTCCAGGGCTGTCTTCAGGAAATCTCGGAATTGCGGGGACCTGGAAGGCCGATGAGGGCAGTGAGCTCTGAGCGGGGCGAGAGCCCAGAAACTCCCCAACTCACAGACTCCACTCTGCCGGAGTCGACCTTCCCAAACACGCCCCTCAGGACAAAGGGCGCCTTCATGAGCCAGAGCATGGAGGCGAGAGGCCTTGGCGATGACCTTCCCGGCTTCCCGTCGTGAACATCACTATACAGATGGACTCGTGGGCCTCCCAGGAGCAAGACCAGCTGGAGGTCACCAGCAAAACACGGCAGAGCTCGGTTTAACCCTGAACACCAATTCCCAGCCCAGCTCGGCGCCACGTGTTTGTGGGTGCTTGCTGTTCCCAGTGGGATCCGGCCGAGATGTCTATCAGGTTTGCTGTGACAGAGGCCCGAGTTGAGAACACAGAGGAAAAGGTGGCATAGGGGCCCATCCCCACAGAAAGGCCCCAACCTCTTCCCTACTCTGGAGCGCAGCAGTGACAGAAGAGCCCTGGTACCCAGCCTCCCCGCAACCTACCCGCACCGGCCCCAGGCAGGCCTCCTGGCTCCTTACCACTTAGAAGGTGAGAGCAGTGTGGGTGGGTCCGACTTGGCGATCTTGAGCAGGACCCTCATGGGGTTGAGCTCATGGTGCGGAGGCTCAATCTGGGCCATCTCGATCATCGTGATACCAAGGGACCAGATGTCAGCTTTGTAGTCGTAGGGTGTGTCCTTCATGGTCTCACACATCACCACCTCCGGGGCCATCCTAAACCAACCAAGGGACAACAGAGGCTGAGAACCTGGTCTCCACAGGCATTTCTCTGAGACTCAGGATCAAGGACCACCACTAGCCAGCATCGGGGAGCCAGCCGCACTCCCAAATTACTTTCCAGCCCAAAGTCCTCCTCAGGATGGTCTTCGCGCAGGGAGACGCCTTCTAAGCGGCTCCACTAAGTCCTGCTGCAGTTCTTGATACCTACCACAAGGTGGCAGCAGCAATCCAGAACCCAGAGTCCTGGGGAAGGGGTGGGTGGGGGGCAGGGACAGGGGCTGCCAGTGAGAAAACAGCAGCAGAGGGATAAGGGGTGACAGAGAAAAGGAGGAGGAATAAGAGGGGAGAGAGAGAGAAAGAGTGAGTAATAAGCAAGAAAAGAGTTTCCACAATGGGAAGTAGTACATGTAACAATCAGTTCACTGTGAAACTGAGGGCTGTTTTTTTTTTCGTTAAAGTAATAGTTTCAGAAAAGAAGGCAACATGATGGCCTAGAGAAGTCCAGGGGGAATTCAGACCAGAATTCAGATGAACTTACAGTGTTCATCTTCACACCTCCCCAGCCGCAGCCTAGTGCCTGGCAACCAAACTCTTCTTGTTGAAACAATCATGAGTTAATAAACCCTTTTTCAGGGATTCACTCAGTTGCAATGAACGGAAGCGTTTCTATGTGCAACATCCCGTGTAATAGTCACAGAACCCCTGAGGAGGTATGATTATGTTCCTGATTTTACAGATGTGGAAACTGAGGCACACAGCAGCTAAACAACTTGGTAAAGGCCAAGTGTATTTCATTTGTATTTCAGCAAGTGGTGGAGACTGGGCTCAAACCTACAGGCTGACTGAGGGGCCTGAGCCCAGCCCCACCTCCTCTACACTAGCCAGAGGTCGCTGGGGGAGCCTGAAATTGAACATTCAGTCCACTATTCCATTCCCAGAAGCTGCTTTACTCACCAGTAAGGCGTTCCTATGAAGGAATCTCGTTTTTGCAGAGTTTTCAGATTCTTGGCGGACACACCAAAGTCAGCTGCAAGATAAAATCTCAGATAGAGTGTTTGGTGGACATTCCTCCACCCTCAGCCCTGGGGGGGAAGCTGGGATGTGAACTTGGGGATCTACCTTCCAAATGAACAGATGCCTTTTTTTTTTTTTTTTTAAGATTTATTTTTAGGGCCTCCCTGGTGGTGCAGGAGTTAAAGACACAGCACTATCAAACTGTCCACAGCTACTGCAACATGAGTTCAATCCCTGGCCAGGGAGCTGTCCCACATGGTGCAGCAGACCTCTCCTGTCTTGCCCACGCTCCCCTCAGCAATGCATTTCAGTCAAACTGCCTGTATGCCTAAATAATTTTAAGTTTTAATAATGCATAAAAGAACTGGGGTAAAAGCTAGCAGTGTGGTAGGTAGAGGGGTTAAGAGGATTCACCAGATAGAATGGGGAGCAGAACAGACAGATCCACTGAAACATACCGCTGAGAGGAGCAGTAGGCAAGACTGGAGAGGTCTGCTGCGCCATGTGGGTCAGTTCCCTGGCAGGGGATCAAACTGGTACTTAAGTGGCTGGGGATAGATTCATAATGCTAAGATTTTAACCCCTGTGCCAGCAGGGAGCCAAAGATGCTCTTTTTTTTTTTAACCAGCAAATTAGTGATCACTGCAAATGTAATAAATATTTACTGCTGTCAGGATGTATGGAAATGTGTGCTTTACTACTTGCCAATGAGAATACAGCTGAACCTTGAACAGTGCTGGTTTGGACCGCAGGGGTCATTTGTCCTAGGATTTTTTTTTCTATCTGCAGCTTCAGCATTCAACCAACAGCATCATCTGTAGGGCATTCCACTCATGGATATGATATGGAAACTGGGAACAAGAAGGGTACACTGCGAGGGGCTTGAGCATCAACAAGTTTGGGAATTCACAGGGGTCCTAGAACCAACCCTCCAAGCGGACCGCATGAGATACATGGATTTAACATTATACATGGATTTTCAAAGATGGGAGAGGGTTCGGTATGCCCCACCCCCTTGTTCAAAGGTCACCTGTACAAACCAGCTTGGCAATAAACACACAGCTCTTCAAATCTAGTCAATCGCCCTCGCAAATAACGCTAGATATATATTTATGTATAATGAAGTTCATCAAATTTCTGCTATAATCATGACAGATTAAAAACAACCATAAAACATTGCTTCTCGGCCATTTGGTTACGGTCTAAGTGTAGTATCTGTGCTTAACAGTTTTAAAATGACTAATTGGTTAAGCTGTCGGGCAGTGATTTTGAAGCTTCTTTCATACAATATATAACGCATTCTGTCTTTTCCAAAAAGAATTTAAGATGGTGTATTTCACGCACACAGAGAAAGATAAACTAGGATCACCAGGTACCAGCTGTTTTACTGAACAGATTGAGAAGTATGACAGCCCCCACAGATGGAACAATCAGTAACTGAAATCAGTTTGGGAGTATTATTTATTCAAGTTTAATACTAAATTACACACAGTAACTCATTAATATTAAATATTTAATATGTAATGCAAATGTGTGTTTAGTATCTAATACAATCAAATATTTTCCTTACATAGTCATATTATAGAGTTGTCAGAGAAGGGGAATTTGCAGTTAATCACATGGTATAGTCAGAACTACGCCCATCCCAGAAAATGGCAAAACACATACTGGACAGACTTGGCGGAAATACTCCAGATTATTTATTACATGCTTGTCCATGGAGGGAGCCTAGAAATACTCCAGATTATTTATTACATGGTTGTCCATGGAGGGAGCCTGGAAGAGCAGGTTTCCTCTGTTTATCTGAATTCTGGGAGTTTGCGAGGATGACATGTGTGATTTTCGGGACCAAATCCAACAAAAACTAAGTTTTATCTTTAAATACACACCCAACACTACTAGTCCTCCTCAACACACCCACTGCCAAGAGAAGAACCCTGCCACAGCTGAGACGGTCCTCAGCCACTCTGGGGGCAAGTTTCATCCTGATGGGAAAATAAACTCATAGTGGATGGAGTCCTCTCCCTTCTCCCCCACTGCCCTGATAGAAACATAGGGATTTTTCCAAATACTCTTGAAGAACAGCCATTTACAAAACTGAATGTCGATAACGGCCTCCTTGTTTAAAAACACAGAAGCAGGAGGAAGTGACACTTTTGAGAGAAGTGGCAGGTTTGTGTGCCTGCCTCACCAGAAACTGCCAAGTCATCACAGCTGCCGCACTGGGGGTGGGGTGGGGTGGGGGGCTCCCGGGGTTGGAAATGAGCTGTTAGGCTCACAGTCAGGTCAGGAACTGGCTTGTTTCTCTCTTTCAGAGAAGAAAGCCCCTGGGAGTCAGGCACTAGCCAGGAGCAGAGAATACTGGGAGACAAAAAGTAACTAAGCCCTTGTCTTGGGAAGCTCCAAGTTGAGTGTTGCAAGTGAGACGACCAGCAGCCAGAAAAATACAGCAAATGCCTTCATTGCTCCAGGTGATGGAAAGATGGGCATATAGGCCTAGGGGGTCTGAAGTAAGGGGTGTGGACTCCTGAGAGCAGGGCCTTGGACAGGGAGGAAGGGAAGGAGGGGCGGAGGAGGGGAAGGGGAGAGGAGGGAAGTAGTTAGGGTAGGGAGCAGGCAGGGCAGGGCAGCAGGAGGATGTCGGCTGAGGCGAGTCACCTGTTCAGCAGATACAAACTGAACACCTACTCTGTGCTGGAGCCTGCTAGGCCCAGAGAGGAACCAAAATCCTTCTCCTGACAGGGTGGGTTCCACTAGTGGTATTTAAACTGGCCCTTAACTAACACCATGTCTTCCAGGGACAGATAAGGGCTAGCAGAGTCAGGTGGGCAAAGGGTAGAGGGTGCTGGCTGGGTGGTTATTTCAGACAGGGGGGTGAGATCTGGAAGATCTTTCCAGGCAGAGGAAACAGGCTGGCTGAATGGGTGGGGATGAAGAAGCAGACAAGGTGGGGGGACAGGCAGGGACCAGTTCACCAAACTGACACAGGATGGTGGAGCTATAGAACCACCTTGTAGGGTTGTGTAAGGATGGAAGGTCACTCGGCGTCAAGCCCGGCCTGTGGTAACCACTCCATCCTCTATTCCATAGGGCTGTGGGGCCTGTGAGTCAGCTGCCTGGCACCCAGTCAGTGTTTACTGGACAGCAGCTACTCCACTGGCCGACAGCCCTGGGGGGTTGGGGGGTGCAGTTGGGTGGGGTGGTCCTGGAACCTCCCAGGGTGGGAGCTATAGGCTCAGGTGCAAACTAGCAGGAAACTCAGGTGAGAACCCAGCTCTGCAGCTGACTGACAGGGTGTTGTGGCAGATCGCCCACCCTCTGGGCTCTTGGGTAAGAATGGGGGTGGGCTCACCTCCTCCCTGCTGGGCCCCCCAGGACTCCACACAGGCTGGCTGCCCAGCAAACACCGATGACATCATCCCAGAACTGTCTGGGAAGCAGTATTCACCTCATACCACCAAAAGCACCCTCCCTGTGGGAGGCTGAAGCTGCTACTTCTCCTAGTCCCCACCCCCTAAGGACCCTGCTGGCCCCTTCCAGAGAGGAAGCTGAAAAGCAGAAACCACAACTTTCATAATGCCACCACTGGTCCCTAGGCCCCTCCCTGAAGCAAGCCAAGTTTTGGAGGTAGCTGTTACTTCCCCTTCCATCTTGTGGGGCTCTGCCGGGAGGGAGGGGTGGCCCCTCCCCACACTCTAGGGTCTGGGGTTTTCCCTGACCTCGAGGTCCCCAAGCCTGTTTGCTCCCCAAGGAACCTTATGAAGGGTCTCCTGAGAGGTGGGTGGCTGGTGGTCAGGGGTTGCTACTATTCCAAAGGAGTTTTGCAGGCATGGTCTTCTGATGAAACCTCCTTCCTTCACCCATTTGAAACATGAAGCACAGGGAGGTGGGCAGACAGGGTCTCCCTATCAGTTTATGAGGAAAGAAACTTTCCTGCCTGAACCCCTGGCACTGTCAGACACAAACCACTGAACAGTTACTGAATGACCAGCCGCAACAGTCAGACTTGGCTAGACTGTCTTTATTCACACAGGTTCAGGAAAAACAAACAAGGAGTTTGTTTCATTGTCAGTCTAAAACTAGTCTGACAATAGCTGCATGCCACACAATGCTTCAGTCAGTGACAGAGTGACTACAGGATGGTGGTCCCAACAGGCGGTGCCTGCCATCCAGCCTCCGTGGGAGGCTGTCCCCCACCCCCGCAGCTTTGTGTAATCATACTCCATGACACTGGCACAAGGACTAAACCACCCAAGATGCATGGCCCCGAGCCTGTCCCCATCATTAACCCATCATGGCTGGACACATGGGTGCTTACGACAGCGTTATTCAAAAGAGTGAAAAATTAGACACTCTTGAGCTTGGTTGGTGGCTGGTTAATTTCGGCTCACCCCGGCATGGAGTAATATGCAGCCCTCAACAAGGATTAGGTTGCATTTTTTAAAAATATATGAACTTGGAAGTCTGTCCACAGAACAGTGGCCAGAATATGTTGATGAATAACTGAAATTCACTATGGAGCAAAAAGCGCATTTCAGCTATATCTGACAAGAGTGATACTTGCATGCTGTACAGGCTTGTCCACTCACAAACATGGACAAAGGTCTGGAAGGTCACACAAACTTAACAGCAAGCATTTCTCTGGCAGTAGGTTCTGGGTGGGGATAGCACACTGTGGGAGGCTTACATTTTTTTACTTTATACATTTTTTTTGATAAATGCATGCACAAAAAACTTAAAAGGCTTCTCTACCAAAGTTGTTTGGGATTTGTGGGTTTTGTTTTGTTAGTAAAACCCAGTGGGGGCCAGGATGTGGTGAGAGAACTCAAACTCCACTGGGGGAACGTAAAGCCAGCAGGCGAGGCACATGAGCTTCAGGTATTAACAAGAACAGAAGCACTACACCTCCCCACCAACTCCACTTCGAGAAGTCCACTCAAAGGTATGGAGAGAGGCACAAAGCCCCCATACTAGCATGCTCATCCGCACATCTGTTAGAAAATCATGAGAAGC